GTTCCTGTCTAAGTCCCATCTGTGTGTACTCACCAGCCCCAGCCCAGGGCAGAAGGACAAAAGCATTTGTGAGCAGAAGGAGCAGCAGCATCTCCCACCACTGTCCTGAAGAGCCAAAGCAGTGGCTGTGGCCAGGCAGGGGAGAGGAACAGAATGACAACATCTATATATGTCATGCTGAGCTGACACTGGAAACCTGTGGCCGTGTCATTTACTGCTTTTGTTCTCACAACCCCCAAACTGTGGCTTGGTGAGGGGCTCATGAAACATTCTCTGCGGTTCTGTCACAATCTTCTCAAAGAATGGAGAGAAATGGGCTGGTTGAGAGCAGCCATAGTGCCCAGGGAGAGGAAAGGGGTGTCTGTTGAGTGCATCTCCCATCAGAGACCTTTGGAGAGAGCCCCTGGGACTCTTAATGTGGGCTGATTCTGTCTGGATTTTGTTTTCTTTTTGTTTTTGTTTCTGCCCATCCTCTGATAACTATGGGGAGAGCTGGTCAGGGTCAGGCAAAGTTCCTATTTCTTATCAGAGGGGCTAACTGCCATCAGAGATGTCCTTGTGCAATCAGAAACCACCAGTCAGGGTCACCAAGGGACAAGGCCAGTGGGGGCCTCTTGACCTCAGCCCTGATGTTCTAGGGGATCTGACAAGTCCATGGTGATGAGGAAGTCTGAGGTGCAGCTGGGGAGTCGTTCTGTGAGCCCAGTCCAGACCAGCAGGTGCCCTGGTGTGCGGGTTAAGGGCAAATTTGGAAGAAAACCTCCACAGGGGACCCCTCCAGAAACCAAACCCACACAGTCCCTTCCCAAAACCAAGTCGGGAAAGATTCCTTGGAGAGAAGTGGAAAGAACCTGTTTATTTAACAGGCACAGCACCCCCCAGGACACAAAATGAACAATACTGGATGACACCACTCTTTCACCGCTCTGGAAAAGATGACAAATTCAGAAAGGCTCTCTTGGGGGTCGTTACTCTGTTATCAATCCCTGGCGTGCTAGGGCAGCTGCTGCAGACACAAGGTGCAAACTCTCAGTGTTTCCCAGGTCCAACTCCAGAGCAGGTTCGAGTAGGTCCAAAAAAAGGGAAAGGAAAACAGTCCAGGGAAAAATCAGAATGCTTAGCCAAACTAATGAGCAGAAGCAAAAGCAAGAGCAAGAGCAAAGCTAAAGCCAAGGAAAAACAAAAGCAGCCCTATGTACTGCCCTATCTTTGTGTCCTTCCAGCTGTGGGGAAGCGGCTGATAACAAATCCAAAACAAAACTTTCACTCTTTCAAGCCAATCTAGAAGGCACAGAACATAATATCCAGCATAAAGAGAACAATGACTGGGGATACAAGCATCATTACGTCAACCTAGAAAAAATTTTCTAAAAACGCTGGAGAGATCTGGGCTGCTTCAGAGCACCAACAGTGCACAGAGAGAGAAAAGGGGTGTGTGTTGAGTGCATGTCCCATCAGAGACGTTTGGAGAGAGCCCCTGGGACCCTGCGTGGCTCGGCTGCTTCTATCTTGATATTTTTTGATTGTTTTTTGTTTCCCCCTGTCCTCTGATAGCAATGGGCAGAGCTGGCCAGGGACAGGCAAAGTTCCTGTTTTTTATCAGAGGGGCTAACTGCCATCAGAGATGTCCTTGAGAAATAAGAAACCGCCAGTCAGGGTCACTAAGGGACAAGGCCAGTAGGAGCCTCATGACCTCAGCCCTGATGTTCTAGGGAATCTGAGAAGTCCATGGTG